CATAATGAGCATTGAGTCCTGCCCCACACCCTCTCCCTCCCATCCAATGACACTCCTCCACCTCGATATCTGACCACCAACTGACCAGTTTACAGTCCAACTGAAACGAACCGAACTGAACCGAATTGAACTGAATTGAAAGTGGTGCGGCGTAATGAGCAGATGCTTTGACAGTTTGCTGCTGCTGCTGCTGCGGGGCATAAACTTTTGGCAGCCACTGTGCGTGATTTATGGCCGGCAGCGACACATCGGCAAGCATTATGGATGGCGCTTTTTTTGTATGGTTATCAAATGGTTTCGAACTTCAGATCCAATGTTCGAATACTGTAAAGTATCTAGATTTATAGGCAGGGCTATTAAATAATTAGCTAGGCTCCCAATTAAACCGTAAATTCCTTTTATCTAAAAGCCACAGAAGAGCCTGCGGCTTAAGTTGTTCCTCGGCAAAATGGGCAAACTTTAATTGAAATGTGTAAGTGTAAAGGCAGGGGCGAGGGGCTTCTCTTTTCCTTTATTTTTTTGTTTTTTTGAAAAGTCGTTGCCTGGCAACTTTACCCCTTCCCTTGCCGGCCTCCCATTAAAAGACATGCCGCAGTTTATGTCCTTGAACTTAGCCAGCTTGAAGCCACCGAGAAGCCAGACAGTTTGGTGGCGAGAAGTTCGCACAATGGCCACGGAGACGCATTGTAGCGCATAATTAGCTCGATGAATAAAAACCAAAACCAAAGAAACGAAAAGTGACAGAGGAAAAAAGGATGAAAGCGGGAGAGTGAAAGAATAGAGAATGAAAGCCCTTAGCAAAACAAAAAATAAAAATAAATCCAAAGGAGGTTGCTCTCTCCCTAGAATTTCCCGAATTGAAGATTTACTCTAGAAATTAATTTCCACCCCCCACGTCTACAAACAAAACTAAACAAACTTCTCCGTGGAAAATTAATGCACAAAACAAATTTCCATCAGAGAGAGAGAAGACAGAGGACAACAAATTGATTTGCATAATGCCGAGTGCGAGTGTTGTTTTAAATTTTAGATGGTGTATAAAATTACTTTGTTCTTGGACTTGGGAGTGTTTGAAATTTCCTATGTAATTTCCAGGCAGGTCACACAACATTTTTAATGATACGATTTTTTCTCTATTTCTTCGTTTTTTTGGGATGTAATTGAATTGGCAGACAAGAGACAACTAGGCATATTGGTCTTGTATTATCAGGAGAGAAGCTCTAGCCGGTGACAGTTGAAATGGTAACTCTAAACATGCACAGGATGTGTCATGACGTCTGTTTTGCATTTTATCTGCTCACGCACACACACACACACACACACACACAGAAGCCGCTAAGCACACCAACGCATCAAGAACATGGCCGCGTGGCAAAATGGCGTCGTCTGTAATAAATTACGTATACGCAGCGTGGCGCTGCAGGAGACCCAAACGAAATACGCGGATGCGAAAACCAGAAGACCCCTTCCCCCCTTCGTTAACTCGGCACCCCTCCTTACCCTTAACCATTGGAAAATGCCAACGGCAGCGGCATCAACCAATTGGGAATGGAAATGGCAATGGAAATGGTCATGTGAATGACAATGGTCATGTCAATTGGTTTGGTCCTTCTGGTTGAGTTCCCGCCTAGGTGGCATGGCTGAAAAATTTTCGCCCCGTCCCAGCGTCAGGCATTTCATTGTTATTCTAATTCCTTTGCCCACGGACTGCGTTTAATTGCAAAAAGAGTAAAATGGGTAACTAGGCCGTTTTCCGCCATGTCCCACGAGCTGCACAAAATTTCCACTAAACGAAGCAGATAGCCAACGGAAATGGACCTGATTGATGGTTAGACGAATGAATGGCATACATTAGTGGGGGGTTATATCTTTGAGAACTAGTTGAAAATCATAAAAAAAGGAAAGATATTGCTACGCAATAAATGTAAAGGCCTAACTTTTCTTATCTTTAACTGAAAACTTACAAATTGCTGGGGCTTATGAGTTTTAAATGCAATAATTTAACATGTATTTGGTGTATTCTGATCAATAACTCTTTACTACTTCTTCTTTAACTATATATAATATCCTTTTTATAGACCTCATGAAGTACTGAATCTATCTTTAAACTCCCTTAGTCTAATGCACTTTTGGTATAAGCCTCACAATTCTAGGCGTTTCCTCTCCAACAAGATAATTCACTTTTGTTCCCGCCCCAAGGCTCGTAAAATGAAACATCCTGCAGGTCCTGGTGCGCTCAGGCTCAATTAGCAGCCGTTTGGCTTCCTGAGACGAGGGTTGATTCCGTTGAAAGCTTCCATCTGTGGATCATAAAAACTTTTTCTATATTTATACAATTAACACCGGGACAAGGAGTCGGGCGGGACGGTTTTTTCATGTTTATCTTAAAGTTGGAATCGCGCCACGGTCTGTGATTAGAAAATTGCCAGCAAATACGTGTATATACATTAAAGGAAACTCCTCTCTTCACTCCCCTTTTTTTTTGGGGTCTAAACGGAAGTACTTTTCCTTTGAGCCTCCCTCGCCCCCCAATTGTTTTGTCTGCAGTTATTTTTTTCGGTTTGTTTCCTTTTGTTTTTTGTTTTTGTTGGCTGCTTTGGCTTTGAGTTTAATTCTGATAGATGATGCTGATTGCAGGGAAACCAATAATCAGGACCAAGGACCATTTTCACAAGCCCTTCCCGAAGGTTAATGGTGCGTCGGTCGTGGAAGTTTTTGGAACCGTTTGTTGCCAAAAATAAAGCGCGTCCTTTTAGCCCTCGCATCGTACATCTTCGCGTACGAGGACGAGTTTTTTTTGGGGGGACACAAAAACAGAGAGAGAAAAAGTGGAGAAGTATGAAGCAAGAAGAGTTTTTTTTTCATTGGTAAGGAGCGAAGCCACAAGCCGCAGAGTCCTGGCCCAGAGCATTGGTCCTTGCCATGTTTTGTTACGTTTTACTTCTTTGTGTCCCTCTTTGTTGATTTCTTACCCTTTTTGGTGGCAAGGATACTTGGGTTTTAGGTACAAGATACTCCGGGAAGTGGTTTATGAATTGGTTCTTTAATATTTCGTAATATGAAAGAGAGAAACTTAAATAATTTAAATAATATTTGGTAGTTATTTACCTTAGGACCCCAGAATAAATGCTGAATACTTATAACCTCCTTAATCTTAAACAAAAACTTTTATAGAATAAAGATATGTGCCTTAAATATTACTTACCTTTGCATATTCCTCTCAAATTACATCTTTTGCTTAATCATTTAATGAAATTTTATTAAATTCAGCAAAATAAAAGAAATGATATACCTTTTGTTCCACTTAAGAGCATTTAATCTTCTGCTTCAAGGAAACATTTTATCTATTATTTTTTTGCTGTTGTCATTTCGTTTTCTTTTGGGCCTGTTATTCATAGCTTATAAAACAATTCCCCTGGCTATTGCGCTCTAATGTTGGCCAAGCTTTCGCCTCGTCCTTGCGACTCCCCAAAAAAAGAAAGAAAGAAAAAAAGGAGGATGAAGAGACAACAAAATTGGGGAGAATGAAAGCATTGGTCGTATGACTACTTAAGGTAAATAGATGACACTACGATGCCGCCCACATGCCACCCCCTGGATTCCAACCCCCGGGGCTCACCTTACCGATGCTGATGATGATGTTGCTTATGTTGTAAACATTTTAAGCAAATTGTTTAGGTAAATAGATAAGACGTGACCTTTCTGACACGGGGTCGCAAATGCATTGTCAGTGTCAGCGGTGAGTGGCTCTCCCACCTCCTCCCACCACCGCCCACTTTTTAAGGAGGGTTGGCTTACGTCTGGCTAATGTATTACTTAGCGTTATTATGCCTCTTGCTTGCTTTTTTCCCCAAACATATCTCCCAAGTATTATTGTCAATTATAAAAAAAGCGACGGCCACAATGCACATACATATCCTATACTCGTACCAAGGCAGAAAGGACTCTCGACTATTGTTGTGGTTTTTCGTCGTCCTGGGCCTTTGTGCTAGGCCAACAATGGTGTCCTCTTTGTCGTCTTTAAGTTGCAAAATATGCAAATAAATAACGATAAAGTAGGTAAAATTGTCTGGCCAACAACCCGAGCGAGGTTTGTGCTTGCCTCCGTCGCACAACTAGACCCTAGAGAGAGGCCCGAGCCCCGGCTCCTGGCTGCAAATCCTTAATGACGGGGGAGGTTCAGCTGGGCCTTATATGACCCCAGGGTCATATGCCACAAAAGGCGTGAGAGCAGAGGGGGGAACCCCCGGAGTAAGCCTGATTTTGATATGGCCACTTAGCTATAACAGAAAAGGGAAAAATCTTATGCGACGCAAAGGATCAATTCGATTGAGGCGGCTTTTAAAAAATATTTGGGATTTTTTAAATTGTAAGGTTTGGTTTAAAAAGAAAGGTTTTTCTTATTATTGTTATTTTTTATTTAATAAAAAAGCTGGCCCGGATATGAATTTATTTAATAATCGATATTTTAAAGTTTCCATAAATCCTTATTCTGTTTGAGAAATAATACAGAGTAAAATAAATATATATTTTATTAAAGTATCACTATTTATCATTGTTGCAATTAAAGAATTACGGTTTGCAAGCTTATATTTTATTGCCATTATTTACAAATTGAATTCGTCATTCACTTTGAATCGGCAACATATTCTGTAAACAACAATAAAAACTCGGCAAATTAAAAAATACATATTAACTACAGCAGTGACTCTAAAAAATGGAAAGAAAAGGAAAACGCTGTGAAATGATAAACACAAACAACAACACCAATGATCTCAGGCATATTTCCTCAGCATTGCAATTAATATTAACTTTTGTTTTAAAAACGTTAATTCAAATATAAACCGCTTAAGAACTTTTATTTCGCATATGCTTTTTTCTTGAGAGCGAGCTTACTTGCCATTCACACACGCACGCACGCACTTCAACACGCTTTTACTATTCTCCTCTTCCGCTCAAATCGAAAGTTCTAAGTGTTGAAGAGGGAGCGGATCAGATGAAATAAAAAGAGGTGAAGATCACATGCCAAAGTGAAAAATTTTGCGTGCTGCTGCTAAAAAGTGTGTTTAGTGTGGAAAAAACGTTTAATAATTGCTAACAAACTATTAAATCATTAAAACCAAGTGCGGCCTATGCGGGAACAGTGAAATAACCATTCAACAAACCGAATTCAATCAAGAATTAATGAAAATGTAAAGTGGTCGCTGCCTCTCCCTCTAACTCCCTCTGGCAGCGAAAAGCGGAATGCAAAAAAAATCAAATATTGGGCAATTGCCAAAGTGAAACTAATAAATAAGTACATATTTATGTACGTGAGTGATAAAAAATATAAAAGACAAAGCAGTAAGCAAGTGGTTATCAAATTAAAGCCACTAAAAGTGCAATCAAAAAACATAAGACTCCCGCCGGCGGCAGCAGCACCCGCAATATGTATGTGTGTATGTGCATATTTGTGTGCATGGCAGTATACATGCTGAGAAACCTCTGCCGAGCTGGAAATGCAAACTAACTGTTTTCTTGCTTTAAGCTTGGAGTTAACTGTTTTTAAAGCTTCAAATAAAAAGTACGTTTTAAAACCAAGCGTATTTGAAAGTTCAAAGTTTATTAAATTTGCCAGAGACAATTAGTGTGTGTTTTCGTGAGTGTAATTTTACAGTGCTTTCCCTATCTTCTGAACGTAGAAGTAAAAAGGGCAAGGTATAAGAAGTGTGATCGGAGGTGTTGTTGTTCGTGTGTGTTCTTTCCATTCCTTTCCATTTTTTGTTGTTTTTTTCTTTAATTTTTTTGAGTGTAATTATAAAGTGCAGTGCAAACACCAAAGTAAATATGTATCTTATTTTTTGTGTTATTTATTTTTTTATTTGTTTTTTTTTTTTTTAAGTGTTTTAAATAATTCTGTGAGTTTAAAAAAGTGGCTTTAATATAAAAAAAAATGGAAGGAAAGAGCTTAATCGCGTGTGTGGTTACAATTCGGTATGTGTTGTGTGTAATTTAATTTTCTATTTAGCAGGAAAAAAAGACTAGGAAGAAGCAAACAGAAAATATGAAAATCGGTAAGTGAAAAACCTACATTATTTGTAGTTTGAAAATTTATAGAAAAAATAGAACAAAAGGAGCTTTTTTAATATAAAATTATGGTGCAATAAAATATTTAATTTTTAAAATTATTCAGCGAGATATATGTTTTAAAATACAATTTTTCCTATCTGTTCCTCTTAATTTATATATATATATATGTATACTTAACTGTCATATTATAGCAGAATCTGCGCTTATTTTAATTAAATTTTAAATATTCTCTACCATTGCAATTTATTTATACCCTCATCAGAGGATTACACGTGTTCGACCGGCGATAAACCAATATATTATATCTGTATATATAAGTATTAATGTATGTTATTTTCAGTTGCATATAATTTTTGGTGTGTGTGGATCTAGATAAGGTCTGTTGATTTACGCGGCCCTGAACTCTCGTGGCCAAATCGTATTTGAGACACATTTCGGGAATTGAATCGTAAAACATTTCAAATTCTGTATTATCTCGGCTTGTGAGGCCCACAATTTAATTCTCTTCGGGTGGAAACTTTGTGAGGAATCGCTGTCCTTGAAAACCACTTAGCCGTCGCTATATAAGTCTTTGGGACTAAGCCCGATATCGTCGGGGAAGCGAATTGTTTTTCTTTTTCTTTTTTTTTTTTGGCATTGGGTCTTTTCGCTATTTATGCCTCTTTGATGGCCTGTCCATAGGCGATTTTTTTGTATATTTGGTTCAGCTTTCTGATTATTTCCATTCAATTTGGCCGTTTTGCGTTTTGGGCTTTCAACAAGTTGTAGCCTTGACAATATTCCCTGGAAAAGGATGGGAGGGGGAAATATGAACACAAAACAAACAATTACCGCGGCAACAGGGCAACCGGCAAATCCGTCGACTCCCTCGCCTGGGTTTTTGCGTAAAAGGGAACTTCCCTTCGTGGTCCTAAATTTTTTTTTCCTCTTTTTTGCGTTCGTTTTTTGCAGCTGCCAAAACAGTCAAGTGTTTCGGCCTTTGTTGTTGGTGTTTACCCTCCCTCGGCTAATCGAATTTGATTGCTTCACACTGATAAGAGCAGCTGCCATGCCTCACCTCAAAGATTCCCCTCCCTCTATTCTCAGATCCTGCATCCTGGATGGCCCCGATCCCACTTGAGCCAGTGGAAGCCCTGGCCTGGCCGGATTTTTATTGCGTTTCATGTTATTGTATTAGCCAAAGCATCCGCATCCGTGGCATATGCTTTAAATATATATGTATGTATATAACTCTACTTTTACAAATTTCCTGTAGTTGGAGTTTTGTGGAATATTCTAGACTTGAGGCTGAGGTTGTGACAGATTAATTTGGGGTATTAAATTGAGGATTCGGACAAGTTTACAGCGCCTAAATTTTATTATGATTATATATTATATTACTTATATTTTTATAGAAAAATATTTAAAAGTAAAATTTTGAAGTTTAATTATGGAAAATCTGTAATCACATAAAAATGTTAGCTCTTATCCTTCTAAGAGGTACCTCTCAGTCGCAACCCCTCTGATAAGACTGACCCCTTGAACTCGAATCTTTTGTTAGATTTCGCGTTTTGTTTGCTTTGCTGATTTCATCGCCGATTTTTATGTGCCCTGTGCGTTTATTATTCTTTACGTTTTTCGCGCCTCATTTTAACCCCTTTATTGGATTTCCTTACCTAGTCCTTTTTAGTCCTGTAGTCCAATGTTATGGAGCGCGCGTGTCGAGCGGAAATGCCTCATTTTTGTTCCAAAGTGTTTTGCATTTTTGTGACTTTTCCCCCGGTTGTGTTTTGCTGTTAGAGTTTTGCCTTTTGGTTATTTTTTCTTGGTACGATATGCAAATGCTCTGCTGGCAGTTATTTGTGCTGGGGATTTGTTTTAAGCGCCCCTCGCTCTCTAGCGTGTTAGTCATATGTATTTGTGTTTTAGTTTAGTTTTTGTCATCCTGACATGGGATATGGAGCGCGCTGAGCTCCGCTTTTCGGTTTACTTCTGTACAAATTGTTTTTGGGTTTACTTTTTCTGTTGATTTATGCATTTCTAAAAGGAACAACTAGAAAATGCGGCAGATCTTTCATCATTTTTTTAAATGGATTGTAAAATCTATGAAATCTATCGGCATAACTTGCATTTTAATTTGGAAATTAGCACATTGATCAGATTTTAGCAACATAAATTGTTTGTGCTATATTTGGTATTTGCATAATTCTTTTAATGGAATAGATTCTGGTCTCCAAACAAGGCGTATTTTAAGATTTATCTATTTTGTACGATTTTATTTAGGCTACAAAAAATGCGTAAATTTAGCGATGTGAGTCGCCAACCATCGATTACACCATCGAGAACTATCGAAAGTACTTATAGTGTTATTGTGTATTCTCCACCTCTAACGCTGTTGCTTTGTTTCTAAATAAAATAAATATAATCTGCCCAAAGTCTGGTAGAAAAAAAACTGTACACTTTAATTCAGGAGGGGAAAAACCATCCCTTTTAATAATTAATAATAATTAAAAACATTAAATGTTATTAGTCTTGAACTGTAAAGTAATTCGGTTTACATATTTCTTATCAAATCCTCCAAACTTCGTATTCTTTCTACTTCGCATTGTAGATGATAACGTCTCTCGTGTTTTCCAAATGTTTCTGCTAATTCTGGTTCAAAAATTTCCACTCGGCCGGCAGTCGCTCTTTGAACTCGGGATTCGTTGTCAAATAGCTGTAATGTGAGAAATCACAAGATAAAATTAGCTAAGAATAAGTTTACTATAACTCACTTATTGAAAAAACGGTTGACGTCGGTAAGCGACTTGAAGACAATCGCCTCGACTTCCGGTAATTTGATTATAAAGTATGAAGCCTGCAATTTGGCTGGATATGCCGGTAATTTATTGGCATAAATATATCCGTGTATGGGCACCGATGCTTCAGGCGAGGCTACAGGCTGATCCTGACGAGTTCCTATGGATGACGACAATCCAGTAACTTTTATTCCCAAGGATTGGAGTTGCAAGGGCACCGTTACTTGGCTGCCTAACAGCGAACGGCGTGAGGATGACGCACCTGCCGCCGGAATTTTTGTAGTGGACACTGATGGCGTAATCGTAGGTTTGATTTGGTTTTGCATCGATTGATTATTGACTGGCATATTTGGTATGGGATATATCTTAAACACTCCCCGTGGAGCTGCTACTGCTGGTTGCTGTGGCTGACAGACCGGAGCGGACTTTGGTGGAGCATATTTCTTGAAAACTGAAAAGCTTTGTGGTGTCGTTGAATTTGGCAATGCATTCGATGTTTGTGGCTGAACTATTTCAGAAAGGGGTCGCTTTCTACCAATATTAACCCGCCCATTGTTCTGGAGTTCCTTGTTCTGTGACACATTGGCAGAAGCTGGCAAGAATGGAGACCATGGTGTAGCTTGTTCAAGGCGGATCACCTTGCCATTAATGTTTACTGTTAAAGGTTTTCCGCTTTTGGACAGTATTCTCTCGTTTTCCACAGTTTCACTAGCTTTTACTGGCGTCGTATTGCCCTGGGCTGGGATATTTGACTTTGGATATATCTTTACCGCGGAATTCGGCCTCTCAATTGTTACGGATTTGATCTTAGGTGTCGCCGGGTATTTGAGGATTGGAATTGTTCTGGAATTGGTTATCTTGTTGCCATCATTGACTCCTTGTTGGTTTGGAGTGTAATCCAACTTTGTGTTTGATTTTGCTCCAGGTGTTGTAGTGTTGCTACTGGTTGGATGTGACTCTTCTAGCCGAAGGATCTTTGCAGGTTGGGCATGGTCTAGGTTATCCGTATCCACATTAATCTCCTGAGATTGTTCAAAGATCTCAGCTGTCGAAGGTAGATCTTCCTCCCTCGCCCTTTTTTCCGCAAGACAATCACGGACATTTGAAATTGAAATAGAAGCATCCAAAGCCAATCTTGGATTTGGCTCAATCTCTGGTCCTGAGGAACTGCCTGTTCCATCAAGCTGCAGCATTTGTGGTGGTTCCTCCTGCACTGCACCTGACATTTCTCCTCGTCTCGATATCAAAAGGAACGGAGATATTTTCGAACTTGCCTTGCGAGAAAGATTGCTTTTCAAGCGTTTGATGTGCCAATATCCCTGCATACCCTGCAATCCCATGATATGATTGTTGGTATTATAATTCTGCCATTCGCTCCTCAACAATTGCACTGCCAGCAGAGGCAGTTCATCGTGATCTAGGGCGTATCTGATGTCCAACACACTGATGGCTTCGGAAACGGTGGGCGTCACGTTGCGGACGGTAGCCGCCATAAAAACATGGTTGTTTGTGTGAACAACCCAAACAGATAAGTAATGAGACTCGAAGGCGGCCAGAAAGTACTTCCACTGGCTGAGGCATACAACTCCCTCTACGGGAAACGGGAAGAGTTTGTGTTGCAGGTCTTGATGAAGGTGCAGCTTTCTGTCTAATACATCCTTGTTAGAAATATTGATCTTTAGTTCAGACTTTGTCTTGAGTTCCTGATCCTTGTCCGTATTTACTGCCTCCAATTGTTGCTCAAAGCTGGTGGCTACTTCTGGTTGGGAAAAAGTATTGTCCATGGGCTCCTGCTCAATGATAACGGGCTGGCTCTCAGGTGAGTCACCGCCGCAGAAGCACTTGTACAGCTGATGGGTTGGGCAGAAAGGGTCCAAATGATCAACGCCTGTAAGCCGACTTAGCTGCACATAGATTTGCTTCACCTGTGCCCGATCCGTATCGCTAACAGTGAGAGCGGGAGCTGCAGGTTCAGCTACCATCAGATTTTGCTGCGTTAAACTTCGCGTATTCCTTCTATTCTGGGTCCCAAAAAGTCTGCATACTTTTTTGGGCGCATGGTACAGCGACGCTTCTTGCCTTGCAAATCGTTGATCAGCACCATCTTATTATCGCATATCACCAAAGTGGAGCTAAAGTCCTTCTCAGATTTCGTTCGGTTGGCATTGAGCTTGTCGTGTACGTTTAACGGCTTGTTGCCTAAAAGTTGGATATGAAAACGTTTGAGGATCACAACAACTAATAAAAGCATAAACTCACCATCAGATTTTATGGCATCGGCACTTATAATGTTGGCATTCAAGCGGCGTAACTCATTGACCAAACGTTTTTGCTGTCTTGAAAGAGCCTTTGCCTTTGAGGAATTGTTGGCCTCAGGTGCAAGAGTCGGATTGCCGTCGATCTCCATTGATTGTTCCATATCTGAGACTCCCATTCCGTTGCTACTGTTAAGATGCACTTGCTCCTGTGTCTGTTCTGAACGTTTCTCCTCCTGAAGCTGCTTCATCTTCTTGTATGCCTTGATCTTGCCCATCTTTCTGTAGTGATTGATTAAAAACAAAAAGCTGATATTATTAAGATAACAAAAGAACAAGAATACATATATGTACATCTGACTAAAATTATAACACCCTGTAAGGGTATAAAAAGCTTTTTAAAAAATGCTAATTTTTAACTATTAGATTAATAGTTTTCAAAGATAAATATTTTTATTTTAAGGAAATGCCTTCTCCCAATATCATTATTATAAGTAAGAGTTTGAATAGATGGAAAAACACAATAAAAAAATAAAAATAAAAATAATTAGACATGTATTTAATATCTAATTATTTTAATTTTATATTTATCAGCAACAGTATTATTATTTATTTATAATGAATAATTTTCATTGGCTTATTGCCCTTTTATGCCATTCACACACTGACACATTGCCAAATCGATGTAAAGAGCATGCGCAGCTGTCACAGGAATGACTTTAATTTTTTGCTGTTTCTATGTGTGAAAAAAGCTACCGAAATGCATATGCATGTGTGTAGATATATGTATGTAATGAGTTGGGTGTCTCATTCGAGATTTCGCCATTTGTACAATAAGATTTTGTGAAACTATATAGTAACTACGGAACACTTTCTTCTATATGATGTTCAATTATGAATTTTTGTTACTAACTTTGCATTGGTTAAACCCAAGGCTTTCTTTTTTTTTGTGGTTAGAATCAAGCATGGTGCTGCAAAAAAAAAGGACCTACATAAATACATACGCAGTTAAAAAAACGATCGCAAAAGTGTTCTAATATTAGCTTTTAGACTCAATAAAATTAAGTTTTCTTACTCAGTAGTTTCTTGTACTCACTTTTTTAGCTGCTAGCTGGGTTTTCACGTTGCTCTCCTCGAAAATTTGCGTTAATGACAGCCGAAAAAAAGAGATGGGCCACCAATTAGCCACGGTGATGTCAGATTAAGATTATCGATGATTTTAATATCGATACAAACAGTCAGAAGCTGGAAAACGTAACGTTAACGGAAGCACGGGAATCCTTAGTTATTCTTTAAGAATTCAAATTCAATATAGCATAGAATAAACTTTAGTGTTGGAATCGCGACAGTGGAAGAAATGTATTTGAAAACCGGCCTTTTCAAGAAAAGACTGCACCTTATTTAATCAAACTTTATATTTAAAATAAATTTCGAGGTTAAAAGAATGTCGAAAACTATCTCATAGTTTAATTTAAGAAACATTTTCGAATATCTAAACCTGTTTTTGAGGTAAACTAATCCATTACTTCTTTTTTTAATTTTGTGTGTTGAATGCAACCATTGTAAACATTGCATCTGCGTGGCGTCTTCTAGTGTGCCCGTCGCCATTTTCTCAAAGAATACTTTCATACAAAAGGAAGACTGAATCTAATAAGAATTTGCAAACCCACGTGGTTTTCTATTTTTAAAGTAACATAACTTTTTTAGCACCCAAATCTAGTCGATCGTATGGTTTACTTCAAATTTATGGTCTCTGCAGTCAATTGGTCATCAATCACGTAACCAGAAATCAAACCAAAATGCCCAGGGAATCGAATCCAAAGTTCACTGGACTGTTCGGGCAGAATTGAAACCTCAGTGAAGGCTTAATGCCGCCTCAGCAGCCGCCAAGAGGCGAACCGAACTGAACCGTGCGTCATAAATAAAAGAAATGAAATCATTTCGAGCAATTTGTCTACAATTTTGTGTCACACTTTCTGCGCCATTTCTCACATGCCATAAAAATGCTACACACATACTTACACACACACACACACACGACACCCATCGATGGTAAAGAGTGCTGGGTAGCAAGTTGGCCACCCGGCAAGGTGTCACGCTGATAAATGGCTCTGCCTTACTTACGCCAACTTCTTCACTATCCCTCAGGTGCCCGCTACTCTTAAAAGAGCTCTTCCCCCATCCCCCAACCCAAAAAAAAAGAACAAGTCCTGCAGCAAAAAAGAAAAAAACCACCCATTCCCTTGGACATTTTGCGTTTATTTTTCACGAAAAACTTTTCCATTTCTCGCCCTTTTGCCGTGTGCCAATTTCAAGAAAGATTTCCTTTAAGTATAATAAAATGCAGTGTCGCTGTCATAAATCTATTCCGCTCGATTGTCACCACGACGCCGCAAAATTGAAATGCATTGACATTGAAAAATTTCTAATAAAAGCAGGGAGAGGGGAGAATATATCCTTTTTATGTTAAGAGGGCGAAAATTTTAGCACAAAGCGCTTCAAACTTTTTGGCATTTTGCGCAGTGTTAATACGGAAATTAAATATTTTGAATAGCGACAGCAGAGCAACGGCAAAAAAAAAAACAACAACAAATAGAAGGGGGAAGCGGTAGCGACAGAGTCTCGAAACAATTTCAAAACATTTTAGTTGACAGCGACCCCGGGTCACACACACACACACACCGAGTGAAACGCGAACAAATACATTCGCAAGCGCTGGTCATGTTTGCGCAGGGAAGTATGCTACACATTCATCCATATTCCACGAAAAACAAGCGACTCCATTGTATGTGTGTGTGTGTATAGAGGATGTTCTTAGAATTTATTTCGCGAGGAATTTTATTACAGGAAATTAGAATTTTTCAATTTTTAATCTTTTTTTCTGGGTATTATTGGTAAAGAGATTTAATTGAAAAAGTCTTATATAATTTTCTTTGAATAAGCAAGAGTTATATTATTAATAAAGGCATTAATATATTTTGGGAATATTCCCGGACATTAATTTAGGGAAGAAGTATGAAATTATGTCTAAAATAATTCATAAACTCTGTTAAAAAATTCTTTTTGAAAAGTATTTATAAATGTTTAATTATTTTACACCTTATTTCTCAAACTAAACTTTCAGTGTTTTCACGATACTTCAATTTTAAGTACTTTATAAAAGCGTTTTTGTGAAACAGAACTTCTCCATTTTAAGCATAACTTTTACGCCATACATATAGTTTTTTTGTTGCCGCCTGACAAAAACGTTTTTGCGAGTTGGCTTAAAAATTCTAATAACACAAATATTTGCAGATGAAAGAGGTACTAAAAGGCATTTGGCCGCATGCTCCACTTGTCAACTGTCGACGGGGACAAAATGTGAGAGGGGGATAGGGAAACAGGGGGGGGGGAAGGAAAGGGAGCACAGTAACCAGACCCAATGACCCCTGACCCCACTCCACTCTGGGGACTTCCTCCCGTCCGGTTCGTCCATCACTCAGATCCCGGTGTCGTCCCGGCGCTGGCACACTTTTTGACAACGTCAGAAAACTGGAAAAGCGGCAAGAGCCAGAGACAACAACAGCAACCAGCCGCAGACGAACGGACAAGTAATAGCAACATACCAAAACAAAACTCCTAGAAATAACAACTAAAAAAGACTACTAAAAAGGGGAGCAAAAAAAAAAAACCTATAGTTTTTCCCATTTTTATTTCTTTTTGTAATTTTCGTTGCATGTTTGCTGCGTTTTGCACTTTTGGTGAACATTTTTCATCTGTGCTGGGCAAAACTTTTTGACATGTTGCTGTGCAAATTGAATAAGTCCGCACCGACACATACGCAAAAAAGACATTGCCAAATAATGGCTAACACACACACACACACTAGCACAGAGAGAGAGAGAGAGAGAGAGGCAGACAACCACTTTGTTTGTTTCTTTATCCCAAAACGCCGCCCCAGGTCGCAATAATCAAATTTGCAGCATCCATCCCCGGCATCCTCCTCCGCACTTCATCATTCCACCTGGCAGTGTCCTGACAGCTCCTCTGATCCCTCTCTGATGCACTTCTACTCCTGTGTGTTGCTAGCTTTTGTGATATTGCCAAGTTTATTGCCATCCAACGAGGGGACTTGGCAGGGGGAGTGCTAACTAATTTCACAGCTCAAAGCCAGAATTTCGGCAATCATATGTGGCCTGGCCAATGATAAACAGCTTTGCGGTCGATTCCTAAAAAGGCTTTAGTCGAGGAGAGTCACTCGAAATGGGTAAGAGCACCCAAAGAGTTGTAAGCCGCTTTTCCGGGATTCCGGGAAATGGGGTTCCACGGGTTCCATGGTAAATAAATGCGGAAATTTAATAAAATGCTTTAGGATTGTGCTTGTACAAATTGTACTTGTTATGCAAAGTATTTAATTATCTGTTAATATTATTAACATTTCAAGCTTATTTGTTCATTATTCATTAATTAAGAATGCAATCCTATACTTTGTTTATGTAGTTTAACCCTTAATAAAAGCTGAAGCTAAAGGAACATAAGAAAATCGTGGTTATAACATTTTTATAACTTGCAGAGTATTAATTCATTTAGATGCTTTCAAAACAGTGAAGAAGTCATTTCCGACCCTATAAATCATATATATTCTTGATCAGCATGAACAGCCGAATCGATCTAGCTATATATGGAAGAAAATAAATTTTTAAAATTTTTTGAACATTTTTTAAGGGTTATTTATAAGTTAAAATAGTTAAAATTTGACAAAAATTAAAATTTTGTAAGTTAAAAAACTTAGTATGCAGATTTGTTAGCCTTATTAAAACTAGCACAAAACAGCTTTCCGAATTGAAATTATTGCTTTTTTGGCTCAGTTATGATATTTGAAAAACTTTGATTTACTTGAAAAATTAACATATAAAATATACATTTAATAAAGTCATATACATTTCAATTTACAATAAAAATCTTAATTAATAAAGAATGAAGCATTAGGAAAAATATTTGATTGAAGCTGTTATTAAATTTCTAGGAAATGTATGCCCCAGTTTTCTCGATAAAAATGATATTCAAAGAGATTTCTAATTTAGTTCTTTAATAATTTCGATATTTACAATACTTTTAAATCTAAACTTGTACAAAATATCTTATGAATGTAAAAAATTAAATACTTACAAACTAACTTGTATCGAAGTAAATATTACATTTCCTGTAAATGTATGCCTCTGCTTTCTGTAAAATATTATTGTTCAAAAGTGTTTCTATTTGTTCTCTTTTACCTCAATGATTTCTACATTTTTCAAATTTTTGTTTTTTGGTCTTTGGCCATTTCCATTTCAGCAAGTTTTGCATTCAATCTTTGGCCATGATAGAAGACACCCACAAATTGAATTCATCGCCACACACAAAGTGCATGGACGGCAGCAAACAAAAAGGGGTAAGTGCTTTTTCCTTCAAAACTGACCCCACCCACCCTACATCACCCTAGGCCGTTATCCAATTTCTGTTTTTGGCCATTGCCTAGGCCTGCCTGGGCTCACTTTGTCTTGGCGTTTTCGACACGATTTTTCTTCATTTTCTGAAATCAATCAAATGCAGGCATCCGTTTGGTAGCTGCTCTTCCCTCCTCCTGTGAACAGGAGGCAGAGTCTGTCAGCGGCGACACCCGACACCCGATCCTAGGAGGTGGGCTCTCCTCCTGGCTCGCTTGTTGGACATTCATCAAGCCATTTCATCTATTGACTGATTGATAATATTTTTGATAAATGATTGGCGGCCATGTACCGTCGTCCTCGTAGTCGTTCGGTGGCCCAGTTTTGCAATTCTCTCAGCTTCCGGCTGGCCGGGTTATTTACGGCGTGCAAAGCGGCAGGCAGCGACACACAAAGGCAGAAAAAGGATTTATAGGTGAGCGAGCAGACGCCGCCTGCAATATGCAAATTGATGGATCCTCGGACGGGTCATGTCCATATGCCCCGGGCTTAAGCTTGTTCCTTGATTGAGCTGCCTATAGATTGGGATTGCGATTGCGATTGGGTTTGGTTTTAAGTTGGGGTTCGGGATATGGATCTGTAGAGGGACACAGTTCCCATGCTGAAAAAAACACGGAAAAATATGTTTTTATTTGTTGTACTTGTAGGAAAAAGAATATAAACTTTAATGCCGTAAGAAAAAGTGGCTTGAATAGTTATCTAGAGGCAGGGGGATAGTAAATAGACTTTTAATTAACAACTTCTTATGCGACAAGGGATAAATTACTCTTTGGAAAGTTAATATTAGCATTCCTTTTTAGTTTTTATTCAATTTAAATATTTAAATTTATCAATTTGTTAAGTGACAAACTTACATAAATATCCTTACTTAAATTTCTATGAAATTGATTCTTAGAAAACCTTTATACTTTATAGATATTTAAGTTGTTCTTGGTTTGTTCATTTTTTCTTTGGGTGCACCATGTTGTGTCAACGTCGCCATCTTCTGCATCATTTTTCATAACGAGCCAGGCTAATAAAAATTAATTGATACATCAGCGGCAACACCATTGTCGGACGGTGGACCGATTAGAATCAGTTCCAGGAGGGCGCACACACAAAGGTGTTAATGCCGCTGCTTCTGCTTCTGCTTTTGAAATTGCTGCTGATGCCCCGTTCGGCACGCGCCAATGTTTACACGGCTCATGGCTCATGGCCCTGGGCTCTTGGCCATAAGCTTTGGGCTCTGAGCTCATGGCACAGGGCGACATACGTACATAGCTAGCTAAAGCCGTTCGACCATATGCGAACAGACCAGAGACCCGGACCAGAACCAAACAAAACCAAGAATCAAAACAATCAGGCAGCCAAGAGCCAGTCAGGCTGGCAGGAGCAGCCACCATACGATACGCCCACATTTGGACACGATGGCACAATATAAGCCAACTCAGGTGAAGGCACAGACAGGGCCATAGGAAATGGGAGGGAGAGCATGGACACGGACCACGTTGCCCAAAGGTAACTAAATTCTTTCGTGCAGAACTCCACGGTGTCTCTGCTAAAGTTAGTGTTTCTCTGGGGAAGGTGGTTAAACTGATGCCCTTTGAGTATTATAATAACTATATAAATACTAAAAACAATTAATAAGTTTATATAAAATATAAAAACTATTTTTTTAGATATATTTAAATGTCATTTAAATTGATTTCTTAACTCTGAAACTTCTTTAGGAACTCTGATCACCGTTTTCCTTGTCTAAACTCTTGAAAAAAAGTGTATTAAACAGGCTACCTATAGTATTTCCGTCGGAGATAATCACAACTTGTGTTAAATCCGTAAATTCGCTAACCACTTGGCCCGTCTAGAGTATTTCTTCTTCGGTTTTTGTGCCTCGGGGCAGTGTCACTGCCACTGCCTCTGCCACTTAATGTTGCACTTGTGTGTTGGGCTCTTGCCTTTTGTGGCTGAGCTAAGCGCCGCGTGACTTATTTGATTGTTAAACAACATAATCTGTTGCCTGCCTTTTGCCTTGCTCCTCGTACCTCGTACTGGCCAATTGATTTTTTGGTCCAGAGCAAACACCAACACTGGCTGAACATCCATCGATGGGTTGGGTGCCAAGTACCTGGACGAGATGAGAGTTGCTCCTGACCAAGGAGTCAAGAGTAATTCAAACAATTTGCAATAAGGCGCCACTGTTGTCGGTGCTGTTGTCTTCCAGGGAACCCCCTAGAATAAAAGAAAAAACGTTTCAAAGAATTGGTTCGAGTGGGAGACAAAGTCAGAGACCATTTACCGGCTGGTAATGAAAATGCAGCGTTGCGGAAAATCGCACCGAAGACACCAGACGACACCAGGGCACTAGACAGCGGACAGTCGCCAAGTGGAAAGTGGAAAGTGGAAAGTGGAAATTGAAAAGTAACGGACTGCTGGAGCCGCACGAGCAGAATATTGCGAAAGGTATGAAAATGGTTCGCTCAAAATTCATGCATGAATTCCGAGGCGGGGTGGCTGGTTGGAAAATGACAATTTTTTTTCGGAGAAGTGGTTTTCATTTTCAGGGACTCTCTCCTTTTTTTCCGAGTTGCTTTTGGTCAAGCCATCGGATGGGCGAGCACTTTCCGGCAGTCAATATTGCGGGGCGGACAATGCCATTTTAGGTGTTATTGTGTCAATGTCTCGATGGCCAAGTCCCCTTTCCATAGAAACCCCCTATTTTCCCTGCCACCTCAGTGAGTGGTTTTTGCTGTTGCAGCTGCAAACTGAATTGGTAGTTCATACATTTCACAGCAATTTCCATTTGGCCATATTGTCAGGGAGAAGCACTTTTTCTCTCTCTTTATTGCTCCCTCCTCTGGCCAGATTTTTTGCAATTTCAGTTACTTGCCCAGTGACAACCGTATATACGGCAAATCAAAGCTAATTCCATGTAATCAGGCACATTTGTCGCATGTCCCTCCCGTTGTCAACATTTTGTTGCGTTTCCGGCAATGTACACACACAGTAAACGTTGCTTCATAAAATGCAAGAAATGCTGCTGAAATTAGGGCCCGAAGCTCGATGTGGGTTTAGGCCAAGAGTAGTCCTCTCTCTCGAACGCTCTGTGCAATCAGCAATTCTGTGCATTTATTCGATTTTATGGTTACGATTCCAATCGGTTGGCAACTTAATTAAACGAACATTATTAGAGAGTGTAAAAGGATGGTGGAAATCTAGTTATAAAGGGAGGAATGGGAGCTATAAGAGTCTGTTGAAGTAGTTTAAATAAAATAAATTGTTTATAGGGGAAGGATAGTTGAAAGCCTAATAACAAGCTTGAAAAAAAAATTAATAATAAATACCTTTTCTAATTGGAATCAGACGGCAAACTAACTTTGGGAAGCCCAAGCTTTTATACCCCTGAACTATAGGATCGACTCCGGAAATCGATTATAACTTAGCTTACTTATCAATATTTTTATATGAACATTTTTGTCGACAAATCAAAAATCAGTCAAAAATTAATTAATTTCAGTTCGGAAAACGGTCCCTTGTTAGTTTTTATTAGGTTAATAATCTGCGTACTCAATTAAAAATGTAAAAAATTTAATATTTTGTCAATTTTTGAAAATTTTAACGATGTAACCCTTTAAAATTTTTTTTTAATTTTGATAAAAAATTAATTTTGGCCAGACATACCTAGATCGACTCGGCTTGTCAGGCTGATCAAGAATATATATGGTTTATGGTGTCGGAAATGATTCCTTTACATCGTACAGGCTTCTCACCAAATATAAGTTATTGATGTATTCCCTTGGCAATAATTATTATTTTCCGTGTTCTGCAGTATTTTCCTACAATAACACACAGGCTCTTTCTTGGTAATAAACATGAAAGTCTTCTTTTGAGCCAAGAAAACTAGAGTGCGCCTCACTTGCCACATTAAAAAGCCACAATGTTTATCGGAGGCTCTGGCTAGCCCGGCTGGTTCTCCCTTTTTCTTGAAGCAACTTGACTTCCTTTAGGCAAATTAAGACACGCCCCCCTCCGCCGCCCCTCCAAGACCGGCTTGGGCTAAAAATAAGAAGGAGCAAACTAGTTCTACGTGAAGTTAATCAATGGGGAAAGTCAGACGAAGCTCTGGGCAACCGGATGCTGGTAATAATATTTAGATTTTTAGCCCTCGATGCAAAACTTTATGCTTGTTTAGATAACATTATCGCCTCGACCGGAGTCGACGACTATTTCCAACTGGTTTTTCCTGGCTCTCCTGCTCTCCTACTTCATCTTGGCTTTGCCGCACATAAACTTGGCTAATTTACGATTGCATTGTGCGCATTGGACTCGCTCATATAATTAGAGAAATTAATTTTGCGCGCTTTACAGGACTGGGAATGGGTAACGAGCATAAAGTTTTTAATTTTCATGATGCAGATAATGCCCATTAAAATATGCCCGGAAAAAGGGCCAACGTGATAAAGAGGCAAGCGCCCCGGCCAAACACCTGCCACAGCCACTGGCTATGAGGAGGAGAGAGATCCTTCTTCGGCAAATGGCGAGGTCCCTTTGGCAGGCTATGCCTTCTCAGCCGCAAACTAAGTGCATTAAAAAATGGCAAAAGGAAAATAATGCAGAGCGAGAGCTCTGTGCTGTGTGCCCTGAGCTTGCTGGCAAAAAGAGAAAATGATTTTTTTATTATGCAACAAACAGAAAAGTCGTCCTTTGGGGCCAGTTGTCCAGACGTCCGACCAACGATGCTTGACGACGGCAACGGCAACGGCGACGACGACGCCGACCTTTTGAACCGAACCAAAGTCCGGGAGTCCGGGAACCCGGGAGTCCCGGAGTCAACGAACGCTGCACAGAAATAAGCGGGAAAAAGTTACCGCCGCCGGCTCTGGCCATTATGCATTATTATTATCCTTGCTGCGGGTCCATGGTCCTGGCTCTGCTTCTGCCACTGATTCTCATTCTCATTCTCATTTTGATTCTGATTCTGATTCAGCTGATGCCGCTGCATTTTCATATATATATATATATATATATATACTGTTTATATATACGCTTTATCCCTGGCATCGCCATCGCTCGTGCTGAAAATTACTGCTCGAAATCAATTTCATGCGATTGAAGCACTTAATTTTTACCAATTCATTAATTGATTTCGTTGGCCGTTCATTGCTCCCTAGGATGGCCGGGTGTTTGTGTATTTTGCTCCTGCTTCCTGGCTACGGCAGTCCTTCTCCTTGCGCCCTTTTTCCACGAGTCCTGCTCATTGGGCACTGACCGGGCAAATTATTACAAAAGTTAAAAAGAGCATCGAGAAAAACAAATAGCAGAGTTTCGCAGAGTCTCCATGGGGACTTGAAGATGCCCTGACCAAAAGAGTTAATTATTATGCCAAGGATGTGTACAAGAAGCAGGATGCAGATACTTAAATTTAAATTTAATATATCAGAAAAGATATATTTTAATATTTCAGTGAACATACCCTTTCGTTTTGTAATTAACTGAAGTCATGTAATTCCGTAAAGACCACGTTTGTTGCTAGCAAATAATGCCTTGCACAAACGCATCCTTGACGTTATTAATTTCCCAGAGAATAAAACAGACCCAAATAAAACATTGTCAAAAAGTCCTTTCCCTGGCACACTGGCTAACGATTTAAACTGATTTTATATCGTTTGTGTTGACTCGATTAAAAGAAGAATCAACTCACAGGTTCACTGAACACCATTTCAACAATTTACGAGCTTAAAGAAACTTTGTAAATGTTTTAAAAAATGGCAACATAAACTTTAAAAACCGCCAAACAAGCTGGCAAGTGAATAATTGCGGGATGCTGGGTTAAATGAATGCAATAGTTCGATATTTACTGAACTATGCGCATTAAAACAATTAAAAAATAAACCCGTACAAGCAGCCTTATTTAATTAATCCACAATTGCGGAAATAAAGGGAAAACCCTGTTTTCAGACGTATTTTAATAGCGGGAAACTCCAGGACTCGATTGCCTGCCTAGCCACAAACAGCATTTGTGCAAATATTTATATTTACAAGCTTGCAAAAAAAAATAAATAAAAACAAAATTAAAACTGAAACAAAAACGCGTTGTAAGAGACGCAAAGAGTTTGGCCATGTTTGTTTTATTTAATTCCTTTAATTATTCAATCGCTTCGAACATTTTCTGCCTAGCGGGGCTTTAAAATGAGAACTGCAATTGAAATACAAATAATTAATCATTAATGTCCAAATTGATTACAATAATGTGCATTTAAATGTCGGTACGTTCTGCTGAAAATTGCAACATAAAATGTATGAAAATTAGTGTATGTTTATTTGTTGATTTCCTTTTCGAATATAATCCAAAATAATTGACAATAAAGCTCGCTTTTAACTATTTAAACCTCATATTTCAACTACTCGAGGTATTTCTTATTATGTTATAATGTCAACAAAAACAAGTCCCTCTAACATCCTTTTAGACCATCAAATAATTGATTTCTCTTTTCTAATTACAACTTTCGAGCGTATCTCTGACCCAAATGATTAATTAATCGCACTTCACTTGGTATATTTTAATTAAAATTGAAGGCGCTACCGCTGCTGTGGCGACAATTGCCCCTGGCTGCGCTTTGAATTAGCTTAATTGATGTTGTTAAATTTGTAAATTAAATTAAAAACCATATTAATTAAGACCATCGCTTATTTTTTGCAGCCAGTTTAAAGTGCTCTCTTTATTTAATGCGAATTATTATCGCCATTGTTATCAGTTTGCAGTTTTTCTTGCGGTTGACCTCCTCCACCTCCTCCTGGCCATATTTGAGTTTTAATTAAATTATTTCATATTGATTTAATGTATTTGGATTAATGTGATTCTTTTTTGTTGTTGTTCAACGACCAGTAAATCCTTTTTTTTAACAAATGCATTGCTGAAATTATTGTATTTCTGATCAATTAAGCGCTTTTACACATTAAGCTTCGGGTCTAAAAAATAAAAAGGGAGACAGAGCCAAATCGGCCATTGGCATTGAATGCGTGTGCTATTAAATTGCCATAATTCGCCCTGACACAATGCAGTGCCCAAAGGCAGCAGATATATAGTATGTGAAGTCTGCAATCGCTGCCCGATTTTTTTTAATGAGACGCTGAAGTATAATTTATGAATTTTAATGAGTTGCCAAATGATGCCGAAGCGTTGATTTTCCATAATTATTAACGCGCCAGAATCGCGCCGTCAGAGCATCGACATTCCCATCAACGGCACGAGTGCAGACGGCGGATCCCGGCATGAGTCCTGGCCGCCGACAGTGTCTGGACCTGGTCATCAACAGTTCGGCACATGCAAAAAAAAAATAAATACCAACAAAAAAATAAATGAAAAACCAGGCAGGAGAAAGGTCTGGACGAAATTCTGACCAATTCAGACCTGAATTCACTTACCTTTTTCACAGACAAATGATTATTGCGTTGTGTATTATCATTTTCCCGACATCAGGACACTCAAAAGACACAATAGAAAATGTCTGCAAGAAATTAAATTAAAATGAAAAAGAGTTGAAGATAACTAGGCAATATTTTTTTGGGATACCTAACATTTAATTTGTTTTATATATGGTTCAACATAAAGTTGCTATGTAAATATTCCTAAACAAGGAGCACAATTTTATGTACAAAAGAAATATTTCGGCTCTTAATTCACACAAAATGTTGCTTATATATATACTACAGAAATTTGAAATAAATTTCAGCTGTGCAAATTAAATTTGTTAAATTAAGATATCAACTTTGGACTATATATTTTTTTATACCCTTGCAAAGAGTATTATTATTTTAGTCCGCGAAGGAGTCATTTGCGACCCTATAAATCATACATATAATTAATCAGCGCAAACAGGCGAATCTTTCTATACAAGTCTGTAAAAATTAAATTTTTAATGGAGTAACCCATCGAAAACTAATATAAAAATTGTTTCCGAATTAAAATAAGTTTATTTTCGTCTTATTAATGATATATATATAATTTATAACATTTTGTTCGACTCCCCAGTATATTTTTTCAAGTGTAAAACCAACATTATCCTTAAATTCCTTCCCGTAACAAGTGCATACATAGGTGCAGTTTCGAATGCTATATATTTATCGCCCCGCTGGGCCTTAAAGTGTTTGTCTTATTTATTACGCCTTTATCGATGTTTGCTTTTTTAATTAACAGATTATGCGGATTCTCGTAATTAAGCACCTGCTTCAAGGATGCTTAAAGTACATACATGTAAATTGAATATTTTGCGAAATTTTCAGGCATTCACACAGCAACGTTGGGGAAAGATCATTAATACAAATTAACACATAATTCACGCACACGGTCAATAATGCGTGTGCACAAAGCCATGGCTAATATGCGAATGCTGCCGGTAATACCTAATTAAAGCCAATAACAATAATAATAATAATAACAAAATGGCTGGGGCCAAAGGGACAAAAGGCGCAGAGGCGCAGAGGCTGTGTGCGATGCATTGCATAATGAAATTAACTAAAATATGCCGTGGCGTTTGCTTAATTAAAACGGATTCCAAACCAAAGGACGCGGTTGTTTTACGCTGCCCGGCTTAAGCGTGTGAATGACAGCATATATTGTAGAGAAATCTATATAGAAAATATATATATAATATGCATATATACGTGTGTATACCCACACCTATGTGGCACATTCGATTTTAATGCAAATCGGCTTAGCCGGCTTACCGGTCGCATGATTAATTGTAATGTCCTGCATTACATTGGCCAATATAGGAATATATTTAAATTTAACTATGGTCAGAAATTGTTGAAAATAGTAGGGAAAATAATCTATTTACTTGATCATTTGGAAAGTTTGACAGGAAAATTAAAGGAAAATGCGTTTTAATCGAATCAAAGGCTTAGCTTGTTGTTTAGTTGATATAATTAACAGCAACTTAGACAGATGATGGCTATTCAATAAAATTGTAATGTAAATAGGTAGAAATACCACCCTGCTTTATAATAATTACAATGAGAGCTTCTTATTGAGAACATTAACATCAAAATAATGTAAACTTCTTCTCTGCTTTTCTGCAATCATGAGCTAAAGCCAAAACCCACTTAAATACACATACTTAGAATTTAATTAAGTCTTTGACCAAATCGGTAGTAATCATTATATTTACACAAGCAAACATTTTGGGCATTTGCTGGACCAACACTAATTAGAATCCCCCATCGATGCCTGGTGGCGGATTCCATCAGCAATCACAGTTCCAATGCTCCAATGCTCCAATGCTCCGATGATGGTCCAAGACATGACATTACGACTTAAGGTTGCACAACGGTAATGATAATGCCTTACAAAGTCAACACAAATCGGCCCGACCGGACCGGGAGGATACTACTTGTATATATACATAGGATGTGGAGGCAAGGCAAGTGCGTGGCAAATGAACTCGTAATACCTCCACACCGACACGTTTATGCACTCAGCTGGGAGGTAGGGGTAGGGTGGTAGGAGGGGCCTTGGGCTGGCGACACTTGTGGCACATTTAGTTGGGCCCTAACGCCTGTCTCCGACTAACAGTAAACAGCAATCACTGCTAATGAGTTTTATTGTAAATTAAAATTGCAATCAGTGTCAGGCAGCTGAAGTGTGCGAGAATGCACTATAGTATATGGGATAGTGACGCTTTTGGGTTCGCTGTGTGCACTCATGATAAATGCAATAAATGACACGTTGAACGCCTGTGACTCAAATCCTTGCATAATAAATTTGCCAAATTGCAAAACATTAAATAAAGACAATGTGCAATGACAAGCCAGAACACAGAGGGGAGGTACATGACACACAATGCGACAGTGGAGTGATGTCCCTGTCGTTAGGCAACCATTCCGATCCATAATCCATAAACCACATCATACTATAGTCTATAGTTGGATCTATGGATAGATGGGAAAGCTGAGATGGTTGGGAGGAAGTCATGGGTTCAGGAGGGAAATGCAACTGTTGCTTGGATGTGGCAGCAATACTTGGCATTCTTTTACTACATTTTCTACTTGATTTGGAGGGAAATGTTGAGTTACTTAAGACCTTTTGTATAGCAGTAAGACTTTGATATATATAAAGGCTTAATACTGTTAATTGGGGATTTTTATTACATTTATTTTAATGTGGCATAACAAATGTTTATAAATATTTAGTTATTTTCCACTTAACAGTATTAAAATTTGAATCCCTGTGTTAACTATTGCCATCACTGACTCCATAAGTTTACACACACCACAAAGCAATCCTCTCACCCACACAATTACAACACTAGGGTCCTCTGTCCCCTCTCCCGCACACTCACACACTCACAGACGGACACATGTGATGTCATTAAAAAGGCATTCATCATGCAGGAGCCAGGATGGATGGCAATGCAGCCGACAGAGCAGAGAGAGAGAGCGGAAAAGGACGAAATGAAGTCATGTAGGATGGCTGACTTATCGATATACCAAGTTAATAATTAAAATCGCAAAATGCGTTAAAAGTCTATCAGTTTAATTGCCATTCGTGGCTACAACTATCAGCAGGCGGTGCCCTTAACCACCGTCGATGTCAATGACACTCTGATGAACTGTCTGTCAGTTGTGCTCTGGCTTCAGTGACTGCCTACTCTCTACACTCCCAATGCTGATGATGCTGCTCCCGATTCGGCGGATGCTGCTGATGCTGCATTGATATGCAATTAACAGCATCAAGGGGTCGGGCCTCGGCGGCAGCAGGACAATTGACGCATCGGGATTTATTCTATGGGCGCATGCATTTTTTATGATTAAACGATAGTTGGATGACTCCCTTTTATTCCCTACAGATTGAAGTGGGCTCTCCTCTTCTCTCCTGTCCTCTCCTGTCCTCTCCTGTCCGTCAGGATATGCCAATGATCCACAGAGTCGAGCCACTGGACAATAATTGAACAATTGCCAACTGTCAGTGGGGAAATGTCCAAATAATAAAAAAAAAGGGGAAAAACCAACGAAGGACGGACTGCCAAACGAAAACTTCACAACTGCAGCTGCTTTAAAGGATTAAAGTATTACCGGGGACATTGGCTATTGGATGGCATTTAATGGGGATTATGCGGAGTCCCAAAAAGGAGGCGTCCACCGGCTGCTGGTGGCACTTTAGTTAAGCCGCGCAATGTGGGGTAATATTGGTTTTTATTATTTATTCATTGATTTTGAATGGCTGCCGATTAAATTAGTCGCATTGAGAACACCAGCTTGTGATGGTTTTTTCAAAAAACCAATAGCCAATATTGTTAAGATAATGTGGGGAGTGTGGATCTGGGTTTACTTAAGGGTTTTATTGTTGAACAGGAAGGGTTTAGTGGAGGGATTTTAGTCAATTTTCAACGCTATTGTATTCTCTTTATTATTATCAAGAATATTTCATAGTCAATAACTAAGCAGTTTAATGTTTTATTTATTTTTGTAAGCTTTCAATTAAGTAAATCCGGATTGAATGATAAATGATTCTAACATCTAAAGCCTTCTTTGTAAAAATCACATTTTACTAGCATAATTTTGTTTTCAATCCATGTTTAATGATGATTTTTACATAAATTGGGATGATAAATTGAAGAAAATTATGTAAAAATTGTTGAGACCTTCCGAAACTTGTTAACATGTATCTTTATGTAATGTGAGGTAGAATTACTTAATAGTTACTTCAAGATGAAGCTCTATTTTATTGAAAATATCTATTAGGTATTTTATTTTCTGCATATTTTATTGTATTTAAAGCTAAACCTTTTAATTCCGACATTAAAGCCAAGTGTTTTTTGATGATTTGTCTTTAAATTTAAACTTTTTCGCACCTACTTCTTAACCAAACCTGCTCGATTTCCCCAATTTCTTACTGCTTTAAACTTTAAACAAAATAAATCAATAGAGCTTAGTACAAAATCTCTCTTTCTCTACCGCCCCTTAAATTTCTTGATAATTTCCCTTGCTTTCGTCGCACATGGAAACTAATGAGCCAACGAGCTGATATATCCATTTAAGCTTACACCCAAACCGTATCCGAATTGAGAAAGCTGGAAATAGGAGGAGACCAAATGCCAGCTAAGCCGGATCCCCCTGGGATCCCGACTACCACGCTTCCGATACTCGAAAACTATTTATGCTAAATGAGCAACATGTCTTAATCGGCTATTCATATGGAAATGCATGGATTATTATTCAATTAGTTACGTTTTCAAAGCCCCAGTCGGAATAGAATGTAGCTCGCAAATATGCAAGAAGAAGAAAGAAGTAAAGAAGAGGGATGTATCCATGAGATACATCTACCTACACTCGGCCAAGAAAATAAATGGGCGGGTAAGCAGAGCTGCTTCGCTTCAGTGAATTTTATTAATGAACTGTGGCCAACTGTGGCTGGCAGCAAGTAACTCGAGAGCCATGGCTCAAACATTGGCCACGGGAACGGGAATGGGTACGGGAAATAACCTGGCGATACACCTGCGAACCGGGTCCCCTGTTCATTATTTGCCCAGGCAGCAAAGCACCAAAGCACCCCAACCCGATCCGCGTCGCACATGTTCAAGCTGCTCTCGTATCTTGTATCTTGTATCTTTTTGGCCAAGCATATTGCGAAAGCCACAACAACACAGCGTAGTAAACGCAAATGGCCATGGGGAAGCGAACTATAGCTGCTGCTGCCGTTGCTGTTACCACTCTCATTCATTCATAAAAATCCCAAGCGCCAAATCCAGTTTGAGCCATGTACACAAACCAGATTTCACACACATTCGCTTCCCGCCGCCGAATCAAGTTCAGATGATATTGCACAGTGGATCGAATTGGTTAGCTAATGAAGTTGAGTTGTTATGGACTCCCTGGACTTGGTTAATTACTTGTAATCCGTTCCCACAGTAAAATTCAGTCAATGTTTATTGGATATTGAGAGATTATATAAGAGTTTAGAATGGCTCATTAGGATTTTATATTTATTGGGATTAATTAATTTGAGTAATCAATCAAAGCATTTTTATGAATTACCAGGTTTATGTATTCCGAAAACTTTAGTTAGGAATTATAAGAGCATCAACTCTTTAAGGATTAAACTCTCTCTTTATTTTCCTATTTTTTCCTTGAAGTAATTTAAGAACTTAACAATATTTCAGGAATATGTTTATTAAATGATAGAGTTTTAATATCTCTTGAATTCTTAAAAAAAAAAACACCTGATGAAAATGATATGAAAATAAGCCCTAGTTAAGCACCTGACCCTTTAAGTATTGAACTCTCTTTTTAAGATACTTTTTGATTAAAGTATGGATTATAATCAGATCCACTGTACCAACGCGTCGGTGTCTCCACCATGTGGGCAGACAGCGGATGTTCCAACAAACAAAACAACAGGAACAACAAAAAATCACCCAGAACAGCGACAGCAACAACAGGTACTACTTACCGCCTCTGATGAAGGGGCTTTGATCTTCAACTCCAACCCAATGCGAACCAGTTTCCGTCATAAAGTATCCGTTTCGGTATCTATAAGTATAGCTCTGGGATGGCTCAACTTTTTATTGATTGAAGCTTTTTGCGTGGGCCGTGTTGTCACCGTAGAGTGCGTAGGGTGAGTGGGTTTGACAATTAATTATAACTGTTTTGTGGGATCGGGTGGGTGTAACTGTGTGTCGTCCCTCTGGCTGGGGGTTTTTCGTTACAAAATTTCCAAAAATTTGCATATCAAAAGCTTACCCAGGGAAGCTGATGCATTAGCGGTAGCGAGGGGGTGTGTCAGCATATCAGTGCGTT